AGGTGCATGCCCTCAATTCGTAGTCCTTATTTCGTTTGCCATAGTCGTCATCAAAAGTGGGGTCTCTCATCCGAGGCTGTTGTTGGGTTTTCATTGGGGTGGTTTTTTTACGTGGCGGGTCCCAAACCCAGCGCACAACCCTATGCAAATTATTTAAGCATTTTTATTCAATAAATTAGTTAAACGGTTCATTTCATGTATTTATTTATTTATATTTATGTACGTATTTTATTGTTCCCTCCAGTTTTCGTGCGTATCCTTCGCACTATTACTTTGACTGCCAATATGAACATTGCCCATCTCTAAATGTTTGCGTTGAATTTCTTCATAGGTGTTAAAGAATTGTTGTGTGTCCTGTGTCAATTTTGTAAGCAGCTCAAACCAAATAGCTTCAGTTAACTCGCTAGAGCCTGTATACATATCATTGCGTGGCGTCATGAAGACTAGTGAACGAAATTCGTAAATGATTTCGCGCAGCGGTTTGTGATACGTTGAATTGTCATGATTTTCTAAACATAAACATGCACAGTTGTAATCAAAGAATTAATTAGTACAAATCATATGTTTTTACCGTCTACTTCAGGCAATAAGAATGTGTTTATTTGCCGTTCTCCCTCCGTTGGACGTGTTTTCTTTTGCTTTTGCTGTTCGGCCGTTTGTCCCTTATATATACGCAATTGTGAATCCTTAAATAAAGCGCGCAACATACGATCCATACGCTCTTTCTGACTTGTTATGAAATCCTGACGTTTAGCACGATTCTTTACAAATAGCACATTAGGAAAATAATTGCTGACAAATGGTTTATTATCTTGTGTTGGTTTCATAATTTCGGCAAATTGCAATAATCGTATAAAATTCATATTAAAATAGTCGTCTTGCACCACAATCAACAAATGACACACTGATAGAAAACTTATTATCTGACGTAGATCATCCAATTCATTTGTGGTCATATCCTTACGGTAAGAATTGCACATCACCGGCGGGCTGTCAAGCAATATCAAACGATCTCCGGTTATAAACATATGTGTGGATTCGGTGCGTGAACGCGCCGAACACTTATGTGGCTTTAATTTTGTTGGAAAGAAGCTATCTTCTTCCACAAACAGTTTGAGGTAGTAATCGTAGTTTATATCATCGTTGGCTAGAATATTCATTATAGTGGATTTGCCAACACCTTGCGTGCCAACCACACCAACTACTAAAAAGTCCGTATTTCCTTTCATAAGTAATTTACGCGTACTAGCATTTATTGCACCAGTTGAAGATATGACAGTTGCAGGTCGTGTCATTTGTGGCAGCGGCTCAATTATCTGCACATTAGTTGCCGAATTTACATCATTCCCAGACACATTTGCTTGTTGTGCTTGCTGATGCAACTGTTCTTTAGTTGTAACTGGACTCACTCCACTTAAGCCCGGACTTTGAGGTACTTCACTACGTGTGACAATCATTGTTTTTAGTGGCGCTGTACTTGCATTTGCAGAAGTCTCTGCCACCTCTGCATCATCTCTCATTTCAGCGCGAGATTTAAGTAATATTTTTGGTTGCATTTCTGCTTCACCATTTCGACGTCCTGCTGAATCTTCTTCCACATTTCGTTTGGCTAATATTATAGGACGTTTATCTTCGGTTTGCTATCAAAATGGAGTTCATTTACAACATTTTGCAGAATATTATACAGGAAACAAACCTTAACTTTGCGATACCGTCTGCGCTTCCCGTCCGACATTGTGACCGAATACTTTTTTAATTCTTATTTATAATATTTACTATCCTTTCGAAAAAGCCTCAGCTCAGATGTGAAGTCAAATAAACAAATTGATTTACAGTGTCGTAGGCATGGCAATACTAACTGGGGTTCAACGCGTGAATATTATGCCTATATTCCAAATATGCAGTATTTATGAAATATTTTGATTTAGTACAAAACAACTTACTTTCTAAATTTGTGTTGGTCATGAGTTTATATTTTGTTTTATATAAATAATATTTTGAACATTTGAATAAATATAGTCCCCATCGAAATGTTAAGATACTGCGCCCTTGCTTTCATTATCAGCTGTTCAGTTCCCACACGCATGTAAACAATTGCAAATTCACCACGACTAGAAAACGCGGTGCAGGTTTTCCTATATTTTTAGTAAATTTAATGCTTATTGCTTTATAAAGTTAGAAAATCTTTTTAATACGCTTAACTATGCCTATGATAGTCATATCCGGTTTACCATCTAGTGGTAAAACCACTCGTGCTAAAGAACTGCAAAAATTTTTCTCTGATAAAGGCAGAAAGGTGCACTTCATCTCAGAAAATATTTCGATAGCCAATGCAGGTTTTGCGAAAAATGAATATTTCGCAGATTCACAAAAGGAAAAACAAGTGCGTAGCGATATCAAGTCCGAAGCGCTACGATTGCTTAATAAAGACGACGTAGTCGTCGTGGATGCGGGCAATTACATTAAAGGTACACAAATATGATCCTTATTAAAGCATTTTATATTTCTGAGCATATTGGTAGGCTATCGCTATGAGCTTTTCTGTGCAACAAAAGCTGCACGCAGTACGCAATGCACACTCTTCTGCGGCATACAAGAGACACGAGCCTGGGTGTTCAATCAGCAACGAACAGGTGAAGATGTAGTGCCAAACGGTACGAACAATATAACAGACAACTCTTATGTGCCTTATACACGCGAAATTTTCGATGCGCTATGTATGCGTTTTGAAGAGCCACACGGCAATTGTCGTTGGGATAGTCCACTATTTGTAGTGTTTCCAGACGATACACTTCAACTTGAAGCCATCCATGATGCGCTGTATGAATCAAAGCCATTACCGCCGAATCAAAGTACGCAGAATGTAAGTGCGACAATTGAAAAATAATAATTACTTCTAATTTTGCATTTAAATACCTATTAGCCACCACTAAGTGCTACGAATTACCTCTTTGAGCTGGACAAGTTAACGCAACAAATTATAGCGGACGTGTTGGCTGCGCGTAAAATCGGTAATACAGGTCCCGTGCCGGTCAAAGGTAGTGAGGTGAAAGTGGAAGTGCCAGCAGGCGTGAATGCTATACAGCTTAATCGTTTGCGTAGACAATTTCTCAATTATACCAAATTGCACCATGCCACCACAAGCACTTTAGATAAAGTGCCGCAATTGTTCGTGCAGTTCCTCAACTCTAATTGTAATGAATAGCGTATGTGATTTAAATAAATCATAAAATTTGTATTGTGTACAGGAAGTGTGACATTTAGTAAATTGACAGCACTATTACGCGTATTTATGTTTACATTATGATTTTATATCCCCATTTTGACAAACCTACTTTGAAAATAAAAACAAATACGTTTTTTACGCCGAAATATTTTCAACAACTGTTCCATTTATTTTTAATGTTATAAATTTGATTTTTTTTTTTGTTTTATACAAAGGTGTCTTAATACAGGCGTATTATCTCATTTATTACTATCATTAATGGTTGCAAAATTAATTAAAAAATAAAACGTTTTCCATTTAACTTTAACATATATATATATATGTATATGCATAGCATACGGAAAAAATCGAGATATTACGCGTGATTTTCAATAGTACGCACTATTTTTTTTTTAATTTTTCAAAAACTAGTAATATTAGTTTCTCAGCGTCATTCTGCTAATTGCCAATTGAAATTAAAAATTGTACTTCATACATTTGCATATTGTTAATACTTTACTTAAATAACTATGCGTTTATTACGTTGGTGTGATAACTACCCATTTGTACCGTGTACAGTTTGAATCAACCTAAAAACACATTTCATGTTCGAGAATTCAATTTCATTTGTCTAACCTGCCCAGAAAAGAGCACAACTTGTAGTTATATAATCTTATTTGGAGCTGTGTGAACTCATAGCCATTCCAACATATAAGCTAAACATAATATATTGTCGGAAACTTTGTTTGTTTTTGGTTTATCTATAACTTTATAGTCTGTTTAAACAGAAATCCTATAATTGCAAAATAACTAATAACTAAAAATTTTAGGCAAGCTAGTACCCTGCACAATTTGTTGTCTCTGTTACTTAAGAGACTGTTAGTACTATTGATGTTGGTAGGCATTCTTATAGCCATTGCTGAATATATCAACATAGTGATTATTTGTGTTGCTAGTGCTGCTACCGCCGGACTCCTCTACCTCATCGTCGCGTTGCGACAAATCATCTGTATTGTCACGCGCATTTTCGGGCTTTCGACAAATCCAAAACAAGCTTTCGTATTCACTTTTTAGCATAGACTGTGGATTCTGTGCGTACTTGGTGCGCATACCAGTCTGGGAACGCAGAAACTCAAAACCAACCATTTTTATGATTAACTCCAGGTTCTCGAAAGTCGGTTCAATACTATTTTCTCCTTGTATATCGCTGAAGTGGTAGAGTAGTGGACCTAAATTTACCCAAATACCGCCGGGTTTTAATATTCTAAAAAGTAAAAATGTTCAATTATAGTTTTACCGCTAAAACAAAAACAGACGGTAATTTTTGCGTGCACATATGCTTGATAAATGTCTTTATCAAGACATATAAGCATGCAATAAAATTTTTGTCAAGGCGTATTCGAAAATATTCGTACCTAAAAATAGCTTCAATGAAGTCCACAATATTATTGCCACAGTCAATAAAGAAGCACGTTGCGACACAATCATAGCAGTTTGGCGTTTTGTAGACCTGCAAGATAAAAAAAAAACTTTTATAATTTATAAACATACAAATGCACATATCAACTTGTAATTACAGGCATAAATAAATATATGTATAATTTTAAAGTGTTTCAGTAAATCTAATTATAAACTGCAAATACGCATATTTCCTTATAAAATATGGTATTCTTTAATTTAAATTATTTTTTCAATTTCACTGTTCTGCACTATTAAGATGCTAAACTTTAATAATAATTTTGTATATACTAAAGAGCAAAATACATGTAATTAATTTATATACCTCCAAGAAATCGCCCGCCGCTATCATTATATTTCCCTTTGGTGGATTCTTTGCCGGACAAATATCAGGAAAGCGTATTGGCGCTACCTGGTCGGCCATGCGCAAATTATTTACATATTGATGCACCCAGGGGTAAAGTGTATATTTATTTTCCTCAGTGCAACTAAAAAAAACTGAAATGCGTTAGTATAAAAGTTTTATGTCTGCCTGAAATACTTACAGATTCAAGACAAAGTATGAGGCAATTAACATGAAATATGAAAATTCATTGCCCTCGCATTCATAGCCACGGCAAGCAAGCTCGTAGGTGAGACGACCGAGTCCGGCGCCAGGCACAAGAATTTTTACCTCATTGAGTGCGCTGAAAAAATTGAAAGGAAACGGCAAGAGCATTAACTGTGAGATAATTGACATTTATCTTAGTTTTATTTACAATTCGCCAGGCTTAAAGAATTCCTCAACGGCGTCGATGATTGGTTTGTATGACTGCTCACGTTCCTCTGCGCAGGCTGCACTCCAATCGCGCGCAATTAACTTTAATGTCGATTGGGCCTTTAAAATTTTAAAAGGTTCAACATCAGCTTGCTCTGTTGCCTGTGGCAAGTAAGTATTTGATATGTACATAGTTTGCTATGGATTGCAATTCACAAGTTGCAACAAGTGCTGTTCAATTGGTACTAGACCATTGTGAAATGCTAAACTACACAAAACTTAAATGCCTTACTTTACAAATTTTTTCTTATGTGTCAATAGTAAATTCTATAAACATTTTCTTACATGTTCCATATCTTGGTGCCTTATTTTTGTAGTATGACCATCACTGTCTTGTTGTGCCAAATATTCGGATCCGCCCATATCCATAAATCCAACATTGTCACGCAGCATTTTCTTAATAACCTTTTGATTTTCATCAATGCAGTCTCTTATCACACGCAAATGATTGCGATATTTAACCAACATGTCCTGATGACGTTTGGGAAGACTATTGAGGTAGCTTTCAGTCTTGTTCACGCGCGCATAGCAATATTTTCTACAAAAATAATATTGGTTATCCATTTTGAAATGTTTGTGAAATGTTGTTATATTGGGCTATCATTAATCACTAAGTATGACGAAATAGTAGGAAGGATTTTATCTATATCGCCGGTACTGATATGCGTTAGCCTAAAGCTTGTAATAGATTATACTTCATCCTGGTTACCGCCTGATTATATTACTATTAGTAATCATATATGTAGTGGAAGCATTTTTCTAACTATATAGCTACATATATTTACTTACTAACGCTTATCGCTTGGCACATGCGCTCATACAATGAAATAAAGACACATTGTATATTCATTTTTTTTATTTGTAGCAATATTATTTTGTGTATGTGGAAAGGAAATAATTCAAAGATTCATTGTTGTCAATATCGACTACACGATTAGCCGCTTAGACTCATGGTTATAACCTCAAAAATTTTATTATTTACATCCTATGATAATTGGCACACAACCCCAGCCAAATCATCACAGGAAATTATTAGGTGCATAGATGATGAAAATATTTACATACTTACTGATAATAACGCAAGGCCGCTATAATCTTTTGCATATGTTTGCGATCTTCCTCCGCCTCTTCAAGATTGAGCATTGGCGGATCGGTAGCAAGTTTACTGTCGCTTGTATTACTGGAAGGGGACTTTCTTGAGCCTGACGACTGTTGAGTATCACTCATATTTGAACACGTTATTTTAAATGCACTGAAATGCTCAAACTTTTAAGAAAACTGTTCATTTGCCCAAAATGCTGACCACACATATGCTAGGGAAGTAGTACGCAATGTGGGTAAAATATATTAATTGTTAGATGGTTATGGGTATCGGATTTTTATAATGCACTATAACAAATCGAAAATTAAATACTACTTTGCCAACATACAAAAATATAATTATTTAAATTAAGATAAACGCAAGAAAACTAAATACCGTTCGATATTACACCACACAATCAGTAGCCGTAATTTTTCAACACAAATAACTTCCAATAAAGAACAAAGTCAGATGTGTTTTCGTACAATACCGAGTGCACACGCAAGAACTTTTTCGCAATTGATCAATGTGAATATGCGCAAATGATATAACTAAAAAGTTCAAAAATGCTTATTTCGGTCATGTAACTTTATTTAATAATTTCGTTTATCTAATGTTAATTTATATGAAAAATTTTCAAATGTCTCCAATTCATTTTTATTTGTCATTTTGTAATTGTTAAATTAAAAACCGGTTGCACCCTGTGATTGTCATAAATAAACAAAAACATTCCCCTCTCTGCCTACCTGATCCGGTAAATCAGGTGTATGGTTATTAAAAATAGACGTGTTTTGCATTGGTTTTATTTTCAATTTTGATCTAGAATATCGCTTTTGAATATAAAGGAAAACGTTTCAAAAATAGCTCATTCAAATGCGTCAGAAGTCGTCCATGCAGACGTGCCCACAAAAAGATAGTGCACGAATGATTGCTAATCAGAGAACTTTAAAATAGAACATAAGCTAAGTGGGTTTTAATAGAGATTTTACTTTTGCTCACTTTCGAAATAAGATAATTTTGTCACAATATTGTGTGAAGTTTTTAGTGTAAAGGAGTGTAATTAATTAGCATCGACATAAGCCGAGTCTCTCGAACATATCAGGTGAGTTACTACTACTCTCAAATATACTAATTCGGTGAATGATTAAGGTAATTTAAATTGTGTATATCTTTACATCTTCAGTCGTTCGAGGACTCGTTGACTACTAAGAACGTGAAAATCAATGCCAACTTTTCTACGCACGCAAGAGTTTGACAAGCTCTTAGTCGCTTTCCGCAGCGCAGAGCTGCCGGCGCCAAACGCTTTGAAAGCTACTTCCGATATCCAACGCACTGGGAAGTGCAATAAACAGGCGAACAGCAGTATGAAGCAAAATGTACCAAATGGCAAAGCCATTAAACGTGGCGATCGCCTACTTACCGAAAAACCATTTGCGTTCGTGCTGCAAGCCAGATATCGTAAAGAGCGTTGCGACAACTGCTTGCAATCGTAAGTGAAATGACGTGCAATTGAGAGAGTAACAAAATCCCAGAAAGTATTTTGTTTACAGCTGCAAGGTGCTGAAATGTGCCAACTGCCAATATGTGTACTACTGCAGTCGTGACTGCCAGATGCAAGGTTGGGTGCTGCATAAAATTGAATGTCCATTCCTAAAGCGCATTTATCCACGTAATGTGCCCGATGCTGCCCGCATGCTTTGTAAACTAATCATAAAATTAGACAAAGGGGGTGATCTGGTACGTGGTTATTACACAGAAACTTGCTCACGACGCTTCCGTGATATGATGTCACGTAAGTTTGTGTGATTCGTTGCAATCAAAATATATCAATAAATACATTATTTTTCCTCCACTTTGCAGATTATGCTGAAATAAAGAATGATGCACGACGCCTAGAGCATTTAGAGTCTTTATATGGAGTGCTGCAGGAAATGATGGGTGACAGTGTTATCGTGCCAAATCTAACGGAATTAACAAGTATCTATGGCAGGGTATGAATGAAATCTAGTAGTCGTTAAATGCTTTTAAATACGTCAGATATTTGTCTATATAATTCATTAAAATTACTATGAACAATTGTTATTGTTGCCCGTTTCTACGTCATTACTCTACGTTGAGTGAATGCCTCAACAAAGATTCATTTTGCTGGCAACTAGCCAAGAATTCGAGAAATGCGGAGCCATGCACTTGCCAAACAAATTAAAAAGAAAAAAATGTAGCGGTGAAATGTTTCGACAACACAGCTGTGGCGCTAATTAATTGACATGCTTGTTTAGTAATGCTTAAACCTATCTCATTGTGATTTGAAATTCCAAATTAAAATTTAGCGTTTAATTCATAACTTTTTTATTATAGTTAATAACGAATGGCTTCAGCATACTCGATGCTGAAATGAACTCAATTGCCACTGCAATTTATCTTGGCGTCTCGGTAACAGACCATAGTTGCAAACCAAATGCGGTTGCCACTTTTGAAGGTACTACGCTGCATATACATGCTATCGAAGATATCGAATGTTTGGATTGGTCCAAGGTTGATCAAATTGCAGGGCTTTTTCAAAATGAATTTATTTTTTAAATTATCAATTTATGCACAACCTTTACAGATCTTTATCAGCTATATAGATTTAATGAACACGCCGGCACAACGACGCGCTGAATTGCAAGCAAATTACTATTTCTTTTGTATATGTGCGAAATGCACAAATACAGCGGAGACGCATGAAATGCTTGCAGCTGCTTGCACCAATAAGAATTGTAATGAATTTCTGGATATAAATCTCAATAATTGCCCGCGGTGTGACGCTGGCGTCAGTCCGAAACACCGTAATGCCTACAACGAGGCAATGACAATCACGAAAACACATTTGGAGAATATGAAGGATATCGCCTGTGAGTAGCTGTTAGTGAATGTTTCATAAAAAATAAAATTAACTTATTCAGATCTGGATGTGTGCAAATTATGCCTTGCCAAGCAAAAAGGGTACTTACATCCACTAAATGTGTGGCATTTAAAAATATTAGACGCGGCCTTTGAAGCCGCTATCGATGTTTCTAAGTGGGAAGAAGCTTTGGAGTTTGGCAAGGAGCTCGTACCTGGTTTTCGGTAAGCAAAAAAAGGTATTATTTAAAATAAATTTTCATTTCATAAATATTGTTAAATTCATAGCAAGTATTATGGCGACTGGCATCCACTATTGGGTATGCTTCATTTGAAAATTGGAAAAATTCAATTGTATAAATGTCAGCTAACAGAGGCAATAAACAATTTGAAGGAGGCGCAAAAAATATTACAAGTAACGCATGGTCATGATCATAGCCTGCTGTGTGAGCAATTAAAGCCTATGCTGACGGAGGCTTTAGCTGAAAGTTTGTAATTTATTATTACTTTTGTTAAATTATGGGCATAATTATATCACCTTTATGTAGTTTACTTCAGGTAGTTTGTAAGAAATGTAAAAATAAAAAAATATATATTTTACCGTATTGTGTACAGGGGGGGAATTTTAAATATTTTAGTTGAATGTAAATGTGTAAATTTAATTTCGTCGGCCTAATGATGAGTGATATATACATATGCTTTCATCTTCACACCCTAGCACAATATCCATTGATTTGCGTCTTAAAGATATCTGAAGAAAAAAGTAGAGTCCGTTATAAGCAAATGCTGAAAATATTTAAATTTATATGAAACAACCGAATTCTTTGAGAATAGCTGATTTGTACATTATGTTATTTACTAACAAGCTACGTCCGAATTTGCAGTAATCCAATGTGATAATTATTGTAAAACAAAACCGTTTCCTATGGTAAGCTCTCCCATCAATTTCCTGTGTATATGCTCAAATACGAATTAAGCATCACACCGATTACATTTATAAGAATGCCAGTTTGGAATTATATTTGTTCATATTTTTCTTGCGTCATTTCTCATCCATAAGGAACCTGCTGACGTTCGCTTGATCAGGCATGAACTCATCATCATTGTTGTCTTTCGTTTTTAACCATGGTAGAAGGGTTTTTAATTGAAGTACAATAATAAGTTATTATTAATAAAAGTGGTTTTTGTTTTATTGACATAAATAATATCATGGTACAAGATGGTACTCCTCGTTATCTATGACTCGTCTACCGTGATAATATTTTTCCCAAGAGTAGCGATTGACATTTGTAGCATAAACAAAGTGGTGAATATTTCAAGTACGTAAAAGCAGTGCTGCATACACTTATGAAATGATATTATAATCTTTAATATTTCAACCTATTTTTCAATTTTATTTCACTAAATGTCACACAGTATAACAAAGTCCTAAAATATTAACTGAAATCATTAAATTATAAAATTCATCAACGAAATTATTTTTGACGTTTACCGTCACCGATGACGTTGCATTATGAATTGTTTCGGTGGGGTAAGATTTTCAGACAGTGTGGTGAATTGTTTTTTTTTGTTTTGCAAAAACAGATCTCCCAATGTCTAATTGAAGTGCGAGTATTTGTTAAAGCCGTAAAGTTAAATTATTTTAAAGTTACATTATATTCATATCATAGATAGATAATGCATTTTACGCCAATGTTGTATATATCTTTATACTTTTTGGCTTTAAGTTTTAAAGACGTTATCTGTTTTTTTGACCCGGTATCATTAACCGTTGGAGTCGGTGTTGGTCTCGGCGCACTAACTGGATTTGGTGTTCTCAAGGATCAAACCTATTGCCGATTAACTGAGTGTTGCAATGAGCGAAGTATACCAGGGGATGTTTATAGTATGTTAATGAAACCATTTTTGTGTATTTATTTGGGTAACATTTCTGCTATTTAAGAGCTCAAAGTAATGATACAGAAACGATTATTTGGTCAACACATTGTTAAACAGCAGTTGATATCAGCGTTAGAGGCGCATTTCAATCCTCGAAGTTCTTCACGAAAGCCACTGGTAATGAGTTTTCATGGTACACCGGGAACTGGTAAGAATTTTGTAGCTGATATGATTGCAGAGGCGCTGTATGAGAAGGGGATAAAAAGTCGGTTTGTACATAAATATACGGGAAGACTGGATTTCCCATTGCAAAAAATTGTTGGAAGTTATAATGTAAGTTAATGACAACAGTTAACAATAATTCAGAGAACTATAACCCTATTTTTTACATAGGAACGTATTTATAATGATGTGGTGACGGGCATTACAGATTGTCCCCGTTCATTATTTATTTTTGATGAAGTGGACAAAATGCCTGCCGGTGTCTTTGAATCACTAGCATCCTTGGTGGACTATAATGCACTTCCTAACAAGTTAGATGGCTCCAAAGCCATATTCATTTTTCTTTCAAATTTAGCAGGTGTACAAATATCTGATCAACTGGCAAAAATGTTAAAGAATGGTGAATTACGCGAAAATATTAAGCTAAGTTCTTTCGAACGAATACTACAAAAAGCTTCCTATAATTTAGAAGGTGGCTTTAAAAAAGCTGGTTTAATAGAGCAACATGTAATTGATCATTTCATTCCATTTTTGCCGCTTGAAAAGCAGCATGTCCACCAGTGCATATCAGCAGAATTTAATAAATGGGATCGAAGACCACAAGAGCAAGTGATAGAGTATGATTTTACTAACATTGAGAAATATAACAAATCGGATTTAACATTTTTTCTCATTTTAGGGATATGCTTAAAAAAGTGATTACGTATGATCGGGAGCATGGACTTTTTTCCACAGCAGGCTGTAAAACCATCGAGAAAAAAGTAGCAACAGAAGTTTGGATTGAAAAACGTTTGACTTAATTCTGATTGTTTTTTTTTTATTTAATAAAGTAATGCAAAATATAATTTTATTTTACTTTCTATTTACCATGGGTTCAGCCATTTCATTCGAGCATCACGTTTTAATAAATCTGTGTCTAAACGTTTGGGGTCTGATTCAAATGCTTCAGCTGCTTCTAAACGTTCAACGACAGGACCTATTTCCTTCGTAACAATACATTCTCCATTTTCCTTGAGAACGGTATGTTTAAGATCGTTCGCTGTGGGTTCACCATATGGAAAAATGATGGGGGTGACCTTTATCAAATGCTTTATCTTCCACAACATAGCATTTACATCTGGTATATTTTTTACTACAGTGAAATCACTCTGTTTTCCATCAAGCCCAAGATCTTTTAAAATACGCTTCTCCCAAAAGGGGTTACCCTTGACGGGTTTCACACGTTGAACACGGAAAAGCTTTGTAGGTTCAATTGGTGGGTCCTCATGTTCAGGGTTCCTTTTAAAATAGACAAATAGCTTATTGTACCTGCGTACATATTGATGACTATATACTTACATTGGATAATAAATGATTTTGCCATATTTCTTTCCATCTTTATATAAGAATTTCTTATTGTGTTTGCCATATGCTCGAACTAATTGTGTTGTTAAAGTAGCGGGTTGTAAAAATTTATGTAAATCCATTATTTTTTTATTTGAAACAGAAAAATGCTCATGAAAATCCAATAAATGTGCTGAGGTTATGAAACAACAAAAATCAGCTGGTCACAAAGTGTGGTGTATATTTTTAGTCAAAAATGACAGTACGTATAAAAATGTATTACTACTGAATGTACGGTTGGAAAAATGAATTGGCGGTAGATGAGTGAAATTCAAAATGGCCGTCGTAAAAAAGAGTAATTGATTTCCTTTGGCTACAAAATATTTTTAGAGAATGTTTAATATTGTTTATAAATGCTGATATATAATTGATAAGAAATTTGGTCAAAATGCCTCAGTCAATAGTGCAGAGCGGAGATGAGGATGTATTTCGTACACTAAAACGCAAGCGAAAATCTGAAGGATGTTTGGAGTACGCTGCAGATGTTACTACTGACAGAAATACTTGCTTCACCAATTCGGCTTTCAGCTCTACGCCGAAAAAAGTAGTGCTACGCAGGCGTGCGCAAACCCCTTTAACGGATGTTGTTCTACAAGAACCTTGCATGGAAGTGAAATCAATTTCAGATATAATTAATGGTCCAGTTAAAAAGACAGATTCGACTAAAATCGGTGGTGATGCGCTTTCGCAAAATCCCTACGAAGTTCAACGCAAACCGCCCAAGAAGAAAAAACGTGAATCGGAAATAGTTGAAGCATGCTTTGAAAATCCAGCATTGAATTTAGAGCTGCCTGAAAAACAATTTAATCCGTATGAAGTAAGACTTCTAAATTACATATATCCTAGAAATTTTGAAATAACAATTTAACCGCATCATTCAGGTTTTACGTGATGTGTCGGCAAAACAAACTAACGTTGCTCAAGCTAATTGTTTTGTAAATACAGCCTTAAATCTACGAACACAGGATGTAACTGCAACAAGAAACCCATTTGAGATCCAACGTTGTCAAAGCGTTGCGACAACTACTTCTTCTGTCCGCGTTGAAAACACTGGCATGGAAGTTGGCCAAGTAGTTCCAACTGATTTAAAAATATCGTTGCCTTTTAAGCCTACTCTTGGTTGTCGCATAGATTTCACCAATATACCTATAGAAGATCTAACGGCTAGCAAGATGCTGGCGGATAAATTAGTATTTTCACCAGTTTTAATGTTGCCGAAACGTTCATTGGATTCCACAAGTGAGGATAGTAGTATGGATATAGGTAAAGAGTTAGATCGTTATCAGCTGGAGCTGGAGAATAGTATCAATGAGGCGAAAATGCGTAAGGCTGTAGGTCCTTGTACGAAATCGACTTTAAATGTGAACGTGGAGCAAAAAATTACATTCAACCAAAAATTGGCCGAAATAGCCGAAGAAGATGAAGAAAATGATTACAATGAAGAAAATGTGAAAAAAACTAAAACTTTGCATGAGTGTACAATTCAATCTCGTATTGAATTGACTGGTAAAATACAAACTGAACATGTTGAAAGAGAATCAGGTATGGTTGAAGAATTAAAGAATGAAGATGTTGCATATGATTCTGACTCGGATGAGGACGAAATTGACTTCAAGGCGCCAGCACCATTTGTGCGTGCATATCAACGCGCTGCAACAACACTTGTCGCTGGTAGCAAAGGGTCTTTGCACTCCAATGGTTCAAACGACTCAACCGATCATAAGAAACCTCTGAATGTACGTAATTTAATACGTAAATCTTTAAGGAAACTGATGCATCCAACTAAGCATGATGATTTATTTAAGGCTAATTCTGATGAGAACGAAATATTGAACATTGAAATAGGTGGAAAGGAAAAGCAACATGCGAGCGCATATCAAATTATACGAAATAGTTTAAGACGCAAAACAACCGTCAATCCTTCAAATCCTGCTCAGGAAACGCCGGCTGCAAAAGCGGAAATATCCATAATTGATAGCAGTGAACGCAGAATGAAACTTACTGCAGCGATTTCAACGAATACAGAAGGTGAGCGAAAACACACATTGCGCAACAGCTTGCGACGATCGACACGCGAAATGGGGCAACATTTGATGAAAACTGTGTTTCACAAAACTCACGAAGCTTATGAACTAAGCAAGTGATCAGATTATATAAGGTGTGGTCTACTACCACACACCACATTTTATTATTTAATTTTAAAAACACAATATTAAGCACCCAAAGATGAGAACTATGAATGATAACTGAACTTTGACGCACCAATGTTGCACCTTTAATTTTTTTATATACTATATTACGCTAAAATATGTTTTTTAATTAAATTATTTACGCTTAAATAAACGTTTTCTAGGAACCTTAAAGTTCAAAAAAAGTTCAAATATGAATTGACTTGACATAAATAGTCCGGTGTAAAGGTCAATTTTCTGCAGTATTTGTGCTGGTATAATTACCATGTTAAATTGACTTTACCTTAAATTTACTTTACCTCGAAATAACCTTGCTTTGAAATTAAGAATTATATTTTTTTTTTATTTTTATTTTAGATTTATGTTTGTGTATTTTTGGAAAATGTCCATTCATTTATTTTTTAATTTATTTTCATTTATTACACTTCCTTCGTCAATAATCTGCAAAACCTTCAGCATTGTCAGTGTTTGTTATTATTTTGGTTTTTTTTTTTTTGTTTGATTACAACATTAATTGTTTACAATTTATATTTTTGTTTTGAGTTTTAACTGTTTGCGAATTTGTAATTTTTCATTCATTCGAAATTTAGTTATTTACTTATTTTGCTACTACGTTATCTATGAATTGCAATTTTTTGCTAACTTAGATCCTAATGATTTCTCAAACAATCTATTGGTTTTTTTTGTTTATCAAATTATTCTTTTAATTATTTTAGTTCTTCAAAGTATTTGCACTTATATTTAAGTATTTCAAGTTTCTACTTAAAGTAATTCAATTTGTTTCAACGTTATTTGATTTTGGTTTCATTTCAATGTTGCATAATGTTGATTGACAACTTTCGATAACTATATAATTATTACTACGAATGACGTTTGTCGTTTGTCGTATGCATTAACGTACATACATGCATATTTAAATAACTAGCCTAATGCATTTTGTATGCTTTAAATTTATTTATCGTCCTCAATGGATATATTTAATAATATTATTGCGTAATAATGTATAATACTATGTAATAATAATTCCACTACATGTAAGTGTGTGTATGTTAATGTATATATTTATATAGCTTGGATTTTTGTTATTTTGTTTTATCTTTTTTAACGATTTACAGACTCACAAAACGGCGAACCATTAATTGCTATTAAAGTTTGTTTTTGTTTCAATTGGTGTCATGCCCATGAATATAATTTAGACGAGCACTTCATTAATAAAGAATGTATAGAAAAAGTTACACTTTTATGTTCTCATTGCTTAAGCATTCATGGAAATGCTGAAGGTGGTTTCAAACAAATGCAATAAGTCTATTTTTACGGTGGAAAATCTATAAAGTTGAAATTAATTGTAGAAATAACGCCTGACATTTGTTAATTGCTATAAATAATATTGAAATATTTTGTCATGAACGATTTTTCAACGAGCAAACCTAACTTACACATTGGTCTGTAAAATATTAACTTTAATTGGTTTCTTTAATTTTGCTTATTTTTGTAAATTCTATTTTAACCTTTTCTAATACGTACACTACCTATTTACAGCTCTGCTTCAAGTACTTCATACATTTTTCAACGCTTTCGCTTTATACATTACATAAATTATCAATAACACTACAAGTTTTAAGTATGGATGGCTACAATAGTTTTTTCTGCAATAATTGAAATAGTAGTTCCAAAATAATTTAAATGAACGCATGATGAAAACAAAGTAAACTTATCGATTTTGTTATCGACTAACACTTCTCTATCCTATGTGCATATTTGCCGGCTTTTTAATGCATGCTTATTGAAGTTAAAACAAAATAAACTTGGGGGAAAAGTATGAAAGCTGTCTCTCAAGGTATTATTATTTTTTATATCAAAAATAACATAAAAAATAATTAGTTGATTTCTGCTAGGGCAATGCCTGTGTTTATGATGCCTATGTGCATATTTGCTGGCTGTTTTACGTATGTTCAGTGATAATTAAGCACAATTAACTGGAAAATTATGATAACTGGAAATCAAGGTATTATTATTTATTATATAAAAATAATAAAAAAAAAATACTTTTAGTTAGTGTAATGCTTGTTGATTTTGTAAAGTAGTAAATTGTATGCTGTCATTTGCTTTGCGTTAATTTGTTACTAAAAAAACAAACAAAAAAAAAGTTTAATAGTTTATTATTTTTTTGTGTAACATTCTAAGTTTTTGTTGCTGGAATGTGTATGCTAATACTATTTAAAAATTGTAATTTGATCTGTATTGTTCTGTTGTGACTAAGTTACTGTCTGTTTTTTTAGCCAACCTGTGTGCATTTGTTCTGTATATTTGTGTTTTTAAATGTGCTTTCGTCCTACACTTAATTTATTTGCATCTGCACAGCAGAGAATTTTTTTAAATTCAATAATTTACTGGGTAATTTCGAAAAATTTTTGGCTCTAAATTTGCGCTTACTTATGACTATATGTTTCATGTTACTTTGTATATTTAAATTTTGTTTTCGTTTAATGTTTTTCTATTTAAAGTATTTGCTCAGAGTCTACTAGTTAATAAGTCCACAAGTTTAGGTTTCAACATTTTATTTGCTTTGATTATAATTTCGCCTCATTTTTCGTGTGACATTTTCTTAACTGTATGTAATTTATTTATTTATGTAGAGTTGAAGACAGCGCATACATTTAGACACAGCGGGTGCGTAAAAGTGTGAGAGAGAAATAACTATGCTAATTAAGAAAGTGCGCAAAGCTTACGCATAATATATTGTTTGGAGCTTTTTGCAAACAAATACACAGGTAAGCCAGTTTGGGGTAGTGTTTCAATGTGGGGTGTGTTGAAGGCTAAACGCATTGCAACCGTAGTTGACAAGTGGAAAGCGTCAGGTAAACTATGTGCTATTAGTGAGTTATGCGGAGTGTGAGAAATTTTGGCGCGCAAAGTTATTTTGAAACGGTTTCGATAACATTTTATTCTTTATTAAAAGGACTATGTGGTAAATTTCGGCGCGCATGCGCGAATGGTTGTATATTTCTTGTGGTTTGCTGTGCGTTTTACATATGTACATTGTTTATGGTGTGAGTTGTATTATTTTTAGAACTATTTTGATTTGTGAAGCAGATCTATATAGACGTCAACCAGTTTTTAGTTTTTCTTTATTTTATTATCAATATTTTTTTAATTTATTATACAGTTGGTTTCACTATTTTTTCGTCCCAAAAAATCTGAAAAACCATAATAATACGTACACACATACATACATACATACATGCATGCTTTATTGTGAAAAAAATAATAACTGTAAATAATTATTGGTTTGTTGTTTTTATTCATAATTGTGTGCAAATTTGCTTAGCATACATTAATTATTAAAAAATATATAAATATTTACATATACAATTGGCATTAAAACTTAGGCGCTTAAGGTTAGAAACATTATCTCTATGAAAATGGGACTTTTAAATGGTGTGTCTTGTTGAAAATTGTGCTCATTTTGCTTTTTTGTTAGTCTAAATAGTCATAACTACTTTCATATGTTTTATGCTTTAACTATAGTATATCCTTGTAATATATATATATATATTTTTTTTTTGTTTTTAAATGCAATTATAGACCTGAATACGGATTTTTGAGTTTAAAAAATTCACTACACATTAAATTTCGATTTAATGCTCCTGCAATGCGAGCTTATTACTGAGTATACTAACATGCTGGCAACGCTTTACAGTTGTTGTTTGTTATGTAAGAAACCCGTTACTCGCAACTGCTTTACAAGTGATAGTTTAACAGTAATTTAAAAATTATTTGGTTTTTCTGTTTGGAATTCTATTTAATTTGTGTCTATTTCATAAATTTACAGTGTATTTATTTTATAAGTTTTAATTTCATTTCGCACAACTTTGCTATTGTTCATTTTTACATATTTAGTTCGTTTTTCTCTCGTATGGTTTTTTGTTTTTATTGACGTCACAAAAATTTTATTTCGCTCGCTAACACACTTCGGAATTCATAATAATAATTTAAATTAAATGTGTTTAAACACAAATATAGATTTTATGTAGTTGTGGGGTGTGAGGAAATTTCAGTACACATGACAATGTTGCCAAAATGTTTTGCGAAAAATTTAAGTTTTTAAAAACAATTTGATTTTAGTTTCTAAATTTAAAAATATTTTACATCGGCAATTTTTTTTTTGTTACATAAAATGATTTAACTTTTTTGCTTTAGCTGTCAGCTATAATTAAGTTTTGGAAATAAAAAATGTAGCATTGCCACGTTTTTAAACTTGTGCTAACAAAAAATAATAATGAAAACTATAATTATAAATATTTTCAATTTTTCTTTGAACTTGTCATTGCAAACAAGATAATAAAATCTTAAATCATAAATATTTTCTGCGCCATATTCCAATTGTAATAGCACTGCGCAACGATTTTTTTTAGTGTAAAAGTATATATATTTGTTTTGTATTAAATTCATAAGCACAGTATGAACGTATATTTGGTGAAACATTTTTGCTAATTCTTATAAGTATGCGTTATACAGCTTAATTACTTACAGCATAACTTAAATAAATATTTGACAATATTCGTTTTATAGTTTTATAGTAAAATTATTTTATAGGAATATTTTAACTAAAAATGCAAATTATAGCTAATAAATTACAAATGCATACAATGGGCAACACTCAACAACTTACGGCAAATATAACGGTAATATATTAGAGAATTTATTACCCTTCAATGCAACAACATAATATGTAGCAGCTTAAGTGTTTTAACGGTGACTTAATTAAAGAACTAACGTTGAAAGTTTTAAATGAAATTGTGTCAAATGTTGTGCATAGTTTTTAGCATGACTGTACGTGTCTGATTCCAGCGCGTCACAGTTTGTTGGCGAAAGCGTGCTTGCTCTTCTTACTCATTTTTTTTTAATAAAAATACATTTAAAGTTATGCATAAATATTTTTAAAAATTATTTCAAAAAAATTTTGAGCAAAAGCTTATAAAACTTTTGATAAAATTATATTATAAAAAATTAATAA